GACAGAAAAGTTGCCAAGATTCAAGAGAGCTTCTGGTTCCCGTGAATGCGGAACTACGTTCGGAAACACATTTCACAGTGCTTTGAGTGCATTTCCAACAAGATACCTGCTGGCAGACGAGAAGGTCTCCTTAATCCCATACCACCAGGCACGCGACCATTTGAGGTGGTGCACATGGATCACATGGGTCCATTCGTGCAAAGTAAGATGCGAAACCAATACCTGCTTGTCATCATTGACAACCTAACAAAATTTGTGAGACTCTTCGCAGCGCGCGAGACATCGACCAAGCACGTACTGTGGGCTCTGCAGGAGTTTATCCTAGAAAGAGGCCTGCCGAGAACCCTAATCACAGATAGGGGCAGTTGTTTTACTTCTCGAGAATATGAGGAGTTTTGCGGTGCACGAGCCATACACCACGTGCTTAACTCTACACGACACCCGCAAGCGAACGGTCAGGTGGAGAGGGTGAATAGGACAGTACTTCCTGTCATCACAACCTCGATGACAGACCCCCAGCAGCGCGACTGGGACGAAAAACTGAATTTAGCTGAGTGTAGTTTGAACAACTCCGTGAACAAAACATCGGGAAGGACTCCCTTCGAGATGCTACACGGATATCAACCAGACTTTCACAACACCGCATTAAAACGGCTAGTCGAAGCTGAGGGACCGGCGTGGCAGGACCCCAAGGAAATGCGGGAACGGGTGCGACAGCACCTCATTGAGGAACAGGAAAAACTGAAAACCGCATACGACCGAAGACACTTTCGTGCGCGACTGTACGATGTCGGAGAAATAGTCTTTATGAGAAAAGCTACTGAACCAACAGGCAAGCCAACGAAGGCTCAACCGAAGTACAGAGGGCCTTTGGTTGTGACTCAGGTTCTTCCCTCCGACACATATCGCGTCACTGAGCTTGACAAGACCAAGGCCAGTAGATTCGCAACTACGGCGCATGTTTCCCAGTTGAAGGGATGGACGTCGACAACAAAGAAAACACACTTGGAAGACGACACTTCATCGTCAGAAGAAGCAGAATCCGCCAGGGACGAAGTCACCGTTCAGCTCCCGAGGCGCTCTGCACGTAGGCGTGCAATTCCGAAATGAGCACATTTGCAACACATATTATTTTTCGCTTGTGTCGATTTTGTTGTTGTTGTTTTTTTTGTTGCATAACGTGCATTGAAGCATTTATGCGTTTCTTGTGCTGTTCACGTATATGTAGCGTCAATTCCTGTGTATTCATATGTTGCTATTATTAAGAAACATGAAAGATTAATCTTTATTAATTTGTATAAGCATTGCTTTAAGTTGTCGTTAACGAGGACGTTAACAATGCCAGGATGCCCGAATGTAAACGAGCGCCATTCTGTACTGGCTCTTTTATTTTATTTCGCCGAGCGCATTCCAAGCAGGCGCCATTGTGTTTTGCCTTTTTCTTTTATTTCGCTGGGCGCTAGGTTCAGTTCTCAGAAGATTGTGTTTTATTTTGAACTCCTCGGCGCCGGGAATCTCGCACGTGGATGCCCGTGCCATGAAGGCGCGACTGGCTGGCGTCGGGCAGGATGCGGATCGGGTTACAGCCTTGGGCGAGACCAAGCTGCTCAAGAAAACTATGAGTCAGTCTAACAGCGGGACTCAAAGCGAGAGTGTGTGTGCGATGGTGGTACGCGACCACCAATAGTGTCCGTCTTGTAAACTCAAATTGTATCAAGAATATTAAATCCAGTGTTTCTTTAATTCCAAAAACCCATTCGTCAAGACCTCGTTTATTATCAAGAAGTTATTTTATTTGAAACGACCATACGATTACAAACGTAAGACATTTCTTCAATACGTTTGATAGCACGACAACATCAGTATGTTGTCGTGCTTCTGGTATGTTGAAATCCATCGAAGGTATTAAGTATTAACATTTTCCTGCTCTACGTTTCCTTACTGTAACCGAATTCCACATGGAAGCTGTCGTAAATCCCGTTGGCTGCCACGAACTCCGTCTTGAACTTGCGTGCTACCTTGGCACGGAATATTTGCAAGTTAATATTGAGGTTCAAAGAATATTAGTTTCCACTGCTGCCTTCGACTTCGGTTGATATAAACGTAATTTTTAAATAAAAATAACTTTTTCAGACAACCTACAGATAGTGCAGTCGCCTGGGTGGCTGTTATGAAATGCATATTCATGCCCGATGAGGCGACAGCTCCCACAACCCTCTTCTGTCACATGATTCAGCAAACCCATATGATAAAATATTTGGCAGAGTTCATAAAAACACATGACCAGGACAAACCAAACATACAAAATGCACTTACAGAAACGCTACATAAAAATGACAAAACCCAGAAAATGAAAACCACACAGTCATCTATAAAGCGACGAAACTACATCTATCCATATATTCAAGCTGCATAAGCACGGCAAAGAAAGTTGCACCAAGTAATCAATTCGCAAAAAAAAAAGAAATGATAGCAGCACGCTGCAAGTCAATTATCCACCTTACAGCAAAAATATAAAATAATGTTTTTTTTTAAGTCTGCAAAAAGAAATAACAAAACAAAAACACTGCACCAAGAGAAGACTGCATTAACGTACTCAAAAAGAACTCAACCTGGCCCTCTTGAAACGACAAAAGGCACAGATTTATGTTTATTCGTTGGAGCTTGCACGGACATAACTCCCTCAATATTGGTCAAGAGATAAGGATAGTTGTACAGAGGGTCGAGTAGTGAAAAATCAAATTTTTGTATGCCATAGTTACTGCGTATTTTTTCGTTGTTGTAGTAAATGTGCCAAAAATTGTATGCGTGATCTTTCCAAAGATACCTCTTGAAAAAACAGTTGGATCGAGTTTAATTTGATTAGAAGGAATAAGGCCAAGTTCTTTTTAAAAACATTTGAGTAGTGAATAGCCGGTGTTTCCTTAAAGGGACAATGAAGACGATTTTATTTAATTTTTTTAAATGGTGTTTTAATGCTTCTTGGGAACATAGCATGCCGCCCAATTTTTTGTAGACATTTATGACGCGTATTTATGTGCCGACGAAAGAAGTAAAGAAACCGAAACTGAACCATCTCCAGTCTCGTTTCTGGGCCTCCGAAAACGGAGGTGACGTAGGGAGTGACGTCCAGTGTGAATAGTCGCTATCGGTAGTATTTAGGAGATCGCGGTGGCGCGGTCGTTGCGCCGACTCTGTCAACATCGACAAAAGCCGCTCTCGCGAGCGAGTTCGAGCTTCCGTCCCGTGACCGAACACCAACGGAACGGGAGTACGTGTGTGGCGGCCACTGCCAACACCCGACGGAGACCGCCCAGCCGGCAACGAGCGGCCCGCATGCCGAAGGACGGACGCGGGGGAGATGCCGAAGGGAAAGCGGCAGTGATCCCGCCGTTCCGGGATCCGGTTCCTCCGCGGACGTCCTCTTTTTGTCGTCAAAGAACACGAACAGCTACCCACACGTGAAAACTAGCGTCGCCCGAACGAATACTGGTCTTCAGTCGACCGTTAGAACAGCCATCTAAAGCTACCATTTTGCAAAATCTTTTGAGTACCGTGTTCTTTTTTAATTTTATTTTGTTGGCCCATAGTTGCTCGTTGCCGGTTTCGCGTCCAGCGTAGCAAAGAAAAAAACAATGATGATACTTTATTTACGGTTTAGTAATCATTTCCGATCCGATTTATACTTTTGATGGTTATTCAAGCGGAAATTAGAACAGTATTTCTAAAAATCGCGAACTAAAACGTGACCGAGGGCACGGTTCTCGTTTCGACCAATCGCTGACGCGTCTCTTGTGACGTCGCGCTCCTTGGCCCCGCATCGGTCACGTGAGCTCCGCTTCTCCTGGCTTCTCCCGCAACTCTTGGGGCGTCGCCCCAGTCGATCTCGGTACGATTATTACCGCGACTGTTTAATTGATTTGCGCGACACGCAAGCGCCGGTTTCGGCTGAAATTTGGGCAACGTGGCCTGAGACGTGCCTGGAACCCAGTTCAATCGCCAAAAAGATCTCCGAAATTGCCTTCATTGTCCCTTTAAGAATGGAGCGGAATGTCTTGTGTACGGTGCATTTTCGACTATGCACAAGACCCTTTCTTGGGGTACGGGCATGGTTTGTATATTAATTTTTGTAGTCACCCCCATACTTGATGGCAATAGTAAAGACATCAATTAACAAATGCACAATATAACTGATTTTTTACTCGATGGGGAAATAAATGTTTCACTCTACGGATAAAGCCAATGAATAGTGAAATATTCGTTCTTACTCTATCTACATGGAAGGACCAATTTATATGTTAATAAAACAGAACTCATCTTTCCATTGATGGAAGGGCAGTCGTTCATTGTTCTCGGTACAGTTACGGGGTTTTCAGGTACACTTCAAGATTCATGTGTACCCTATACGCTCACCATAGGTGTAATCTATCTTTGTTTCACGTACGGAGAAACTTTGTTTATGATTCATACACGGTATCTTTTTTTACGAGCTCTAATAAACCCGTAAAGTACTGAGAAGCTTCTATCATAGCTTGGGTGAACGTGTTTAGGCCGCACAATTACGAAGATGATATTTTTTTAGTTAAGAATCATATACAAAATGATGTTGGCGAAAGAAATGTTACCAACGTTGACCCTTGTCACAGATACGTCATAAAACGCCGCGTACCGGCTAAAAAGCTAATTCTTTATTATACGCATATTATGAACTTGTTGGAGATAAGAGCAGCAAATAAATGAAACAAACTGACAGTCTAGTTCGAAGATAAGAGCAGGGTACTGGAAGTCGCGCTTTGTTGGATTATAGTCTTTTAAATAAAATGATTCATCGTCGCGTTTCAGAGTTTGCCATGGTATATCATTGGAAAGACCACGCAGTATTACGTTGTAACAAAAAGAAATCCCTTCCAATTTGCGTTTTTGCCTATAAAACCATTGCATTCATGCAGGTGAACGTAACGCTGTTCGGAAACTTGTTTATGCGAATATACCAGTCCTACCCTCTGGGAAAGCCTAGTAGACCCTCCTTCCTCCATCGTAGTAGCTCCCAGATGCTTGCCATGGTGAAGGGCATCTCCAGTCGGTCCTTCCAAGCGGGCTGTCTTTCGCGACCCACAACACGGTCGATTTCAGCGTGAATCCTGGACTGCACTTTGTACGGGTTCTGGGCGCAGATGAGCAGCAGCCAATGAATCGCGAGGGGTACTCCAGCAACACCAGCCGCAAAGAAATCCAGGGCGCAACCTATTAGATGGCATTCTGCGTCAGATTAAAAGAAATGCCTTGTCAGGTTTAATGTTGACATATTTTGACTGCGTGTCCTGTCTATGAAAGCAACCTTCATGGGTTCTCCAAGCTTGGGCAAACTTTCGCCGGGGCGAACGTTTTACGAATGTTTGGTGCAATTTAGCTACGCCAGGCATGTCAACGTTGAAACAAATTAAATTTTGAATAGAAAAGGAAATAGTATATAATCGCGTATAATATACCAAATAAAGAGCCACTAGGTTGGTTTAAGGGGAAAATAAGTACGCGTAACTGAAGCCCAAGTATAATTCAGAATGATCATGTGGTCCACATTATATTTCTAATAAGCGTTTTCTGCTTCGCACACAAATATATATCATGCAAAAAGAAAATATTGTAAGGCTTTTAGCCTTCGTATAAAATATGATTTAGGAATATGACGTGTTCGCTCGGCTTGTACTGTAATAAGTGTTTATTCATCACTGTTTTTTCTAAATTTTGACTTAGGTTGTTCGCGGAGTCACGCAGTGATATATGTAATAGATACGAAATAAAAAGACTACTTTTGCGAAATTTCCCAGGAACACTTCCCACTATGTTTAACGGACACAGTCATGCTGACTTTACCGGTTTAACCATTTACTTTTTTTGTAACATAACGGAGAGAGAACTGAAACCAATCAATCTAAACCAACCAATCAACCGCAATCGGTTTTAGCATATATCACATATGAGTTAGTTTTCCACAATGTCTATTATTTAAGATGTCTAACAATTTGAAAGGCATGGCTACTTTTGTGATGACTAATGTTAATATGGCACATCTGCCTTCGTTGTGAAATTGCAGAGACCAGTGGTTTAGACACGTTTGAACAACAGAATAATTTTTATTGAGTCCCCGGTTAAATCTTTGGGAAACATTAATCCCCGAGCCAAGAATTACTGTGCTTCCGACAACAGTCAGCAATACGCTGAGAAATTTAGTTATTTCCGTTTTTGTGTGTGTGTGTTTACTCATGACAGCAAAACGTTTCCGGCAGTCCTTGGTTCGACGAAATTTAAATAAATTTTTGAAACAATACGCTGAATGTGCTGCTGGGTACTTTGCTACAAATGTTCAGTCATATATATATATTTAAAGGTTTTACCAAAACCATAGAAGATGGCCAAAAGTATCCCAATACGTTAAGGTGGATCTGCTTCTTCTGTGGACAATTATCGGCCAATATTTCTCATTGGTACTTGTTCAAAACTTATCGAAAACCTTGTTTTAAAACAACTTTTTTTACGTTCATTATCAATCACAATATTGTTTATCAGTATCAACGCGCATTCCGGAAATCTTTTTGTCAAAAGTCCAATTCATTGAAACAATGGATGAACATTCCGAAACAATAAAAAATATGGTGGTATTATATTCGTAGAATATAATCTGAAAATATGTTTTTGAATATTTTTAGACTTCGCAAAGGCTTTTGATAAAATGCCTCATCCTTAATTATTACGCTTAAGTGGAACCTTATTTAGGAACCAAACGATCACAAAATAGTTACGCTCATATCTATCACCGAGAATAAAATTTCTGGAGCCTGGAAGCTGTGTGTTTAGGCGCGCTCCTGTTGCTTCAGAATTACCACGAGGTAATCTGCTAGGCCCATGCTTGTTTTTATTATTCATAGAAAACACCCTCTATGGTATATGAGTCTCAATAAAGTTGTTTGCTGATGCGTGTGCCTAGTGACATAAAATTAAAACTGCACACAAGAAAAGTAATGTAATCCATTATTTGCGCTCAAAATTAGAATTAAACATTGGTGGGACGAAGGGCAGATTGTGTTAAACCCTAGAAAATAGATATTTATGTAAATAAAAAACAAGCAATTCCTAAGTTAAAATTATTGCATAGGTGATACCAGAAGCGCTTTATAAAACAATGGCAACAAAATTTGTTGAGACCTTTTCGCGAGCATACTAAAATAGTATAGGATGAAACTATATTAAAACATTTGTCAAAACTCGAAGAGAAATTGAATAGCTTGCATTCACGCTTGTTTAAAAAGAAATACCATCGTTTTCATTTCCCCAGTGTATCTTCCAGACTTGCTAAACACCCGGCTTTTGAATTAAAAACAAACTGCGACCGCTTGAAATTTATTTTCCTAATACTTTGTGGTTTACTTAAAATTTACAAAAATAATTAGACGAATATGCTCATTGGTGAATGCACGCGACATCGTCATATTACGTAAGCACATTATTGAACCACGTGCTGAAGATGATCATTTAAACTCAAGTGTTTTTTTTTCTAAATAAAAATAGAGAATAGAGCCAACTTCCTTATTCAGCCACCGTTTAAAGAAATACGTGTAATGTTGTGAAAGCATAACGTTTGACAATATTTAACGAATTTTATTACTTCTAAGGTGCTTGTATGTTTTGATGCCCGATTTTTTTTTTGTATTGTGTCCATCATTGTTTTTCGTTTTCGTATATATTACCACTCCCGTAAAAAGCATGCATAAGGCTGAGGGTATCGATGGTGAAAATGAAGAAATAAATAAATATTTACCCCGATAATGCGAATTAGGGTTGTCCTTTTGGTCCATCATTTGCTTGAGATATCCGTCAATGAAATCGCGAGTCGTGTCCTCTTCCAAGGTATCGCGGTGTTCCATAACCCGAGCACTAAAAAAATGGACGCATCGCCACAATAGGAGTTAAAAAAATATGAATGCCAGGAGCATATATTTTCTGGTTTTCATTGATTTCTTAACAGCGAGCCGCCATTAGCTTTTTCTTCTTCAAATTTTGGCTTTAGTCACAGTGCAGTGACAACGGTTTGTAATAGTACGGTTTTTCTTCTGAACAATATTTTTATCTTTTGGGATTGTTAAGCCATCAATGCAAAAAGCATTCATTTGCCAACCACTGTCTAATTTATTCACCCAGGAAGACGACCGAAAAGCACGTAGAGCGCTAAATAGAGATTTAAATTAAACCAGCCAGTGCTGCTCTGAATGTCAAATAAATATGTTAACCTTAAAAAGGTCCACGTATAGAACATAACTAATAAGAAGAGCATAGCCATTTTTTTTTTCAGTACCACACCGAAATCGAATAATTGAGCTGAGCGTAAAATATTCAATTGGGGAATAACAATATGTCAGAGCCTGAAATGGCAACTATATATCGTAAATTTAGCTAAGCTGCGTGCAGGATGTTATAAACATTAACACACCACCTTAAAATATGTCAAAATGAAGATAAGTAATTCGTCATATGGCTCTGATACTATCGGCACTAGAATATTTCTCGCTGGTTTTTGAATCCCGTTGCTTGAAAGCATAGAGGTAGGAAGCTTCTAAAGGCTACATGACGCCACCAGAGGCGAAGTGAGAAGTTTGGAGGGACACACTCCCAACGATGACCAAAACCAAAAGACGCTGAATGAAAAGTAGAGTTCGTCTTTTTGTTGAATAGGGTCTCTTGATTTTGATCGTCGTTGGTAGCGTGTCCCTCCACACTTCTGACTTCACCTCTAGTGGCGTCATGTAGCCTTTAGAAGCTTCCTACTTCTGTGCTTGGAAGAGTACCACTGCAGGTAACACCCCTAATAGCACCCAATTTTAGATAAACTTCGTAAGAGTAATTAGAGCTGATATGACTGCGGACTTGAATCATTGGAGGTTAGAAGAAAAATAGCACTCTTAAAGTTTTTTGATTCTTAAATTTATTATGTCCTTCTAAAAAAACCCACCCTATACAAATCATGCTTTTGTGAAAAAAAGATCGGCTAGGTTAAATTACTTTACAGCATTGCAATTTCATCTAGTTAAATTTGATGTGCATAAAAATTTTTTTTTGGAAATGCAATAAACAACATGAACAAGCTTCCAGAACACGTTGTATCTTGTAATGATATTTCGCAATGTGAAAAAAGCCTTTATGATTTTTCATTGTGACGAAAACGTTAATATATATTATGTTTTTCTTTGAAGGCTATGTATTTTGCGCTTGATACCCGCCTTGTGCATGCGTCCTTGTAAACGAGAAAAATGTGTTTGCACAGAGACGTTCTGCGAAAAACCGTCATGCTCGACAATCACCCCTTGGAAACAAGTGATTCTCATCTAGTCACTGTACCAAGCGAGGTATTGATGTTTAGAAAGTCAAAACTCAATAGTGGATCTCACAAATGCATTTTACTGCGACCAACTGCGACAGAACTGGTTTTTAAGCGTTTGTGACTGCTGCGCTGTCAGTCGCAAGCAGTCAAAGAGGCTGAAAACCGGTTTGAACTTCTCCGGTCGTAAAAGGTGGCGAGTGTGGGATTTAGCATTTACACTAGCTTGATTCTTCTCACAAAGACGGGGGGAGGCAGTATGTGTTGCGCTACCACGCGCACGAAGTATGTTGGTTGTGCCGTGTCAGCGGTCTTTACCAGCATGATCATGCAAGTGTAAATATTTTCCTTGTGCGTACATGCAAGAAACTTTTGCAAAACTTTTGTTTCTTCGCCGTTTAAAAGAAATTAAAGCTGTATATTCTTAACCTTCACACGGAGAAATAAAATAACTCACAACACGAGAAAAAAATGTGTGTCGTCTTATTCGTTATTTCATTTTTCCGAGTCCCTGGGCTTAGGTGATGCTATTTCCGAACCAGCTCGTTTGCGCACTTTTGCTGCTTGCAATTAAAACTATCTATTTTCTAATGATTTTATTGATAATTAATTTCTACGTGTTTGGCGGTACTTTTTTTATTTGTACTTCAATACATGAACAGTTACGTCTAGAAAATGCCTTTAAACATACCTAAAAATTTACTTGCCTTTTACGACATAGGGCACCGTTGGCCGCCAGTCTCAGTTTTTGTCTGTTGCGTTCACTTTAATGCATAAGGGCTCATCTCGTTTTTACTGTATAAAACTGTGACTTGTCACTACAAAATGTCATAACGGCCGAGGAGGGCGTTAAAGAAGATGCAGAAAGACAATTCAGAATCTGCGCTCTTTTATCCTGCCCCCGCCCCCCCCCCCCTGCCTTTCCTAAAAATAACATAAGAAAATGAACTTACCTGATAAATTTGCGAGCAAAAGCCAGTTTTTTTCGTATCTTTGCTACTTCCGTGAATGGTACGCAGGCCATGACTGTGCGGAGCCACACCGGATAGAAGTCTACCAGGGAGTTAACGGCAAGTACGCGCATAAAGTTCATGATGTGGGTTTTTACGTCTCTATGTTTCTGGTCGCTATCCTTGTAAGTTGATCCAAACAAGACAGCACTGATGACATTAAAAGAAATTGAGAAAAGGCATTCCTTGATTGGAATAGCGGTTCCTTTGGAATCTTCAATCTGGTTCGCCAGGGACTGCAGCTGTTGCTGCTTGGAATATGTAAAAAGATGTATAATATGAGTACCAATGCGCGTACGTGCACCGAGATAATATATTTATAATATATTAAGAATATTTTCACCACTTTGAGTAAGGTCAAACTACAAGCGAAACGACATGCCTTGATATGATCCTCCACAGCAGTTTTCCCAAATCCGTGATCTCGAAGCACCCGCAGACAGAAACGTCTGTTGTCTGCCCAGGCTTCACCATTGAGAGTAGCAATTCCTATAACATACAGAAGATGTGAAAGCCCGTATGCACAAAAAGTAGACATTGTCTTGTAAGGTAGATATATTTCGTCAAAGCAAGAGCCCCTTGTGCGAAACTACGCGGTATTTAGCAGTTGCTGATTCAATTACCTGAGGTGTCCTGATTTCGGGCATTGTGAACATAAAGTGAACATTCAAGACTAAGTAAAAACTAAGTCAAAGTTCAAAGTGTATTCGGCTTTACGCCAATACTTCGAGTTGGAAGCGGTGCTCAAAGTATAACGATCTCCAGCTTACCTGGCAGCGAGACTCAAGTCATTATGTTAACTGTATCATGCGGTGTGGAGGCTTGTTCTGTCCTCAATAGGTTGGTTTTGAAATTCAATCGCGCACTAGTTGAAATTCAATCGCGCACCTTTTGACGTTGCTACGGCCGCTATATTGACAAATGTGTTTCCGAAATTTTTCTCAATTTGCTGTTGGCGCCTAGGCACAGTCAGAAGGAGACATGCTCGGCAGTGCGATAAGCTTGTGTTTGGGGACGTATTCAAAATGCACGTTCTTTAGATTCTTCTACAATTTATTTGGTTAGTGTTTTTTGGTGTCACACAATTGTTTATAATTTAAAATAACCTCTAATATAACGAAATAAAATGCGGGCTTGTACATTACACTAAAAGGAAGTACTTAAGTATTTAAATTAAGTTACTGAGTATCAGGTTAAAAAGTAACTGAGTAGAGTACTAAATTTTAAAATCTGAAAAACATCAGATTGGGGAAACAAATACTCTGAAAAAATTAGCTCGTTGCTTTGAAGATACTATTAGGTTACAATTTATTATGCAATTTAATGTTAAAGAACTAACTTCAATGCGGTGGATCGTTGACTGCTGCCGGCAATCACTCCCCCCCCCCCCCCCCAAAAAAAAAAATAGATAGCCGTTCCAGTGCTGTTAGGGTCGACGATTGTGGCGAGCTGCAATTTCGTTTCACCTCAGATCTGCCATTACCTGTTGCTGAATCTCAGAATCCGAGTAAAGTTTGAGAGGAGCAGAAGAAGTGCACTCATAAAGAAAAGCTCTTTGCTTATCACATTGCCAAATGTGGTAAAATAAATCACGATATTTAATTCCTCGGAATTGTCTGGTCATAATAGCATAAATATTGAAAATAAAAGCTAGTGAATATAGATAACAAAAATTTTATTTTGCTTCTTTCCGAAGTTAGCAACCCGAACAAGTCAGGGCGGTCTGCAATGTTTAATTAAAAATAACGACGCGTGCTTGCGCAATGGCGTCGTAATCGTCAGGAACAAATGACCAAGATACACGTTCTTGTTACCCTGGTGATTGTCACTTTTTGTCACCTTGTCACCTCTTGCAGCACTCTTACCGCTGAGTTTCCCCTCATATTACAGCTTTGCCCATGCACCCATTCCTTCCAGCATACGAGCCGCTGAACCTACACCCTGTACGTGGCTAGAAAAAAAAAACACTCCGGCTGCAGCCAGTCAGCTATGTTGTCTTGGCAGTGACCTTGATAAAGTGTTCCTCAAAAATGGTTTCCTTGCAACTGGGGATAATAGTTTGTTCCGACTTGATACAAATATAACTTGTTTCTTTTTTGCAGAATCAGGGCAAAAAAAGAAAAGACAACACATTGATTTCAAGATTCTTTTTACCAAAAATGCGCTAGAGTAACTTGCGAGTAACTTAAGAAGTGAGCACATGTTACTTGCGAAGAGTGATTAAATGAGATAACTAATATCTCACCACAAAAATCATTTGTAAAATGCCAAGCTACGGGAGTATTAGGAATACCACTACTTCAAGTTATTCAAGTTACGTACAAGTCCCATATCATAACTAATTTAAAGTGAGTGAAACATTACCATTCCAGCACAATGGCCTTAAAACAGAAAATTTCCAAAAGTGATTAACACAATATAACAACACAGTACACCCATTAGGTGGGTACAGTCACCTAATGGGTATACACACGTTGTTACTGAGACTAATAATTCAAAATACACCCTCAAGCATTCTTTTTTTTTTCTCTGCACCCCCCTCCTACACACACACACACCTCCCCTAGGAAAAAAGTGTGAAGAGGGCAAAAAGTGATGTTTACATCCAAACAATGCAACGAAACATGAGCAAAATGTTCTTTGGGAAGCTAGAAAGTGGGCGAAAAGGTAAAACTTTTCGTTAGTTATGCGCACAATGAAAACACCCACGTCCTAAGGAAGATCCAACAGGAGTAACTGATTAAGTATATGACTGACCTACAGAAACCTGTCTGGTGTTTGTTATTTCCAACTTGTTTATTTTCTAACGCCTGTTTTTCACAATGAAATGTGAAGACTACTTTATTGTTAAATACTACAAATAATGCGCATTAATCCACATGAAGCGGGCATGACTTTCTAGAATCAAATGTACACTTCTTCCTATAAAGCGAGATTTAAATGATTGAGATCTAGTATCTACTACGATTACTCGTAGACACTTTAAATACAATCTTTATTTAAAACAAAATATATTTAGAAGCGTCTGCAAAGATTACAGATGAATATCGAGCCCATGTTATTTTGGGGGAATTTCGTGTAGTGAATGTTTTTAATTGTATAGATGTCGCCTCTGTGTAAAATGTCAGACTCACGAAAAATTAAACCACGTAATTCCGAAACTTCAGTTAATCAAACACCTGAAGTACACTCATATAACATGCATTGAGGAACTTCGGAGAGTGCAAATATTTAGCACGACTTGTGCTCAACACAGTATAGCTTACCTCCTTGTGACTCTTATTCAGCTTTGTCCACAAAAGAATAGACCTTCAGTTGATAATTTATAACCTAATCGAGAAATTTGAACGGAAAATATTGTGCTCTTTGTGAATATTTTCTTAATTCTCAGTTTCTGAAATAATGCTATATTCACATGGTGCGTTATTCTGTACACTGTAAATATTTCTCTCACGGCGCTCTGAGTACTTTCTGTATAGTGTATATTTTTCTTGCATATCTTTATTGGATACTTGTAGATATTCAACTTGATTTTATGTACTTTTTGATTTTGATGCCTTCAAGTCAGGCAAGCTCTTTCTTACAACCTCTTCGCTTGTCCTCGAAGAAAAGTCTATTTTTGTTTTGACAATGACAAAAAAATCATAGATCATGTAATGTCTTCGGCTATACATGGGCAGGCTATACTGGCAAGCTGTCTGGGCAGATTATAAGTATATATGTAGTCCAAGAGTCGCCTGAAGTGCATTTGCGTTATTTTACTTTGTTTTCTGTTCAAAAGTGGATGAGTAATAAAAACAAACAAACACAAACCCAAGTAGCCACGGCAAGCTTGATAAACGACAGACTGATGAGGTCGGATCAGACTCGCTTCCATGGCCACGAACTCCTTCCATATTTTGACGTCACTAAGGATGACAACGTTGGTGACTCCGATCTTTATTCTGCAATGTATGCGCGCACGAATCTCAGTTTTAACATTCTTGCGTTATTTGTTAATAGCTTGTTGTAGTAACGATCAACAGTTATAAACCTCATTTGTTGCTGTGAAAGGGAGCCACCTATTGCAAAGAACCAAATAAAATGAAGCATTAAAAGTAAAAACCAAATGTAACCAGACACCTTCGAGTATTTGTAAAAATCAAATGATATTTTTTAACACAAAAGGGGCATAAGGTTTACCATCTTTAAACAAGCATTGTAAACTAGACGTAGTTAAATAATGCGCAAATAAAGTTTGCCTATTTTTTTTTGCTATTCGCAGCATTAAAATTATTTTACTGTACGCACTAGTTATGTCTTTGTAATTCTCCCATTTCGGCGCGTCAAGCTTCACCGTTTCTCACGAGCGTGTTAGGAAAAACGAACGATGTGTGTGAGCTTTTCAGTTATGTATAGTTCCTAAAAAAGACTGCCATTGGTGTTTTACGCTCTAAATAGCTACGTGTACGCCGAAAGGAGGAAACCGTGACGCCTCGTGGGTTCTCTGGCTCCTGTGAATCACCAGTGCGAAATGGCTCTTTGTACGACTATATTTTTATTCTCTCCCGTATAGACTTCTCGCCGGAAGTAAACCTTGGGATTACTCTTTCTTGAAAGTATAATTTATACTGCGGCTTCAAGCTTGTTCTACAACTCGGAAATATTTGATGAAGGGCTAAGCATTGCCATTGCCTTCTAAGGCATAAAGCCTTAGGAGGTAATGGCGACAGTTGTACGAAGAACGTCATTAATTTATTCTTGGCAAAGAAAGTTGTTTCTTGGTTCTGTAAGCATTGCAAGGGTTCTAGAAAGGGATGAATCTTTAGTAATCACGTATGTAAAGATAAAAAAATTTAGTTTTACATCCAAATTTAGTAGTGCCTGAGAGTAGTCCGCGTGACCATGAGGGAACCAATATAATTATAAAAGGGTTCCTGGTATATATATATATATATATATATATATATATATATGTATATGAAGCAACGTTTTCTTTTTGTTATTCTTCTGTGAACAAGTTCATTTACAATATAACTCATTATGCGTCTGCTGTGATACCAATACCTTCATTCTAATCACGAGAAACATTATCAAAAGAGTTTGTTTCACACGCTAT